ACTTGCATGGGTGACCGGCTGGGAATACCGGGTGTTGCTGACATCTTTTCTTAGGGAGCTCAAGGGCGAAAGCCTTCTTCCCTTAATAAAGTGACTTAAATATAAATGAGCACATTCAGAGGCGCATCGGAAAAAGAAAATATAAGTTCGAAGAACAAAGTAAAATGTACATATAATTGCTTTCATAACATTATGCCAGTCGATGCACAGGTACACTATTCAGAATTCGTATCTGTGTCTACATAATCTCGTTTTCGCAGTTTGTATTACATATGACAAATGACTAGGCGATTGTGGTCATCATGTTCTTTCAAATTGTGTTCAATTTCCGCCATTAATTTTATATAGGAAACTGGTGTTCATTTTCTAGCGAGCTGCCGTTAGGTACATGGCCAATTTGAGTCAACAAATGTACGAATCCTGAAATTTTACTGTTCCTTGTCGAAAAGCCCCTTCACCTTTGTCCCCTTTCTTGATTTTGGAGATTGTGCATTGGTGGTCGAAGATGCAAACCACTTGCAAATTATAAATAGCGGACACCTAGGAAGCACATAAACTTCGTGTGTCTGTGCACTAAACGACAGGAATCCAAAAAGGATCATTTCAGATGATAACACCACCCAGGCTTCCTAAACAATAACATGGAGAACTCTCCCGTAAGACATTACCTATTATCTTCACTATATAAACTGAAATAAACTTAAACTGAAGTGGCACACCAACTCGCAAACACTTTGCGCTAACAGGTTTTACACCCTAGGGACAGAGTTGGGTATCTTGAAAGAAAATGTGTTGTCTACAAGATCCCATGTGCCAGTTGTGATGCAGTTTATTATGGCCAAACTGGGAAATGCGCCTCAACCAGCATACACGAGCATCAATTGGCGGTCAGAAGACGAGACCACTTATCCCAGCTGGTCATGCACACATAAGAAACTGGTCAAAAATACGCCTGGGAGAACACACGCATTATTGGCTCTTGCCTAACCAGAAAAGGCCGTGAATTCCTGAAGGCAATGCGCTCAGATGAGGCATGCATCAACAAACATATCGCGCTGGACGCGTGCTATAATAATGTCAAGGCCAACGTTCAACACGCGCGGCCAACCATGGCAGGATGACGAAATGAGTGTAATGCCTATTGGCGTAGACTTTAGCTAATTGTAGTACATTTCGGTAGACACGGTTGATGAAGTTCATGTTCTCGGTTAATGTTCGTGTACATATCCCATAGTCCGACGATGAGCTGAGGAACCAGGCTGGAAAATCCACACATTAAAAATTCAAGATTCCCAAATAACCCTTCCTCTTCTCAATTAAATATCTTGGGATGCCCGTATTTTAATATAAATTAATATATAGTGACAGATGGGCGTACACCGATCATTCAGAGGACTCGCTGGTCCGTTAATGGTGCCTTTGGAGCTGCCTTTCGAGCTTAAGCCACATAACGGCTAATGATACAGGCAGAAGGACCTTACCGACAAAGAATAAGGAGACTAGAATGGCCATTTCTGACTTGTTAGCCGTCGTTAGCCAGTCATACTCAACTCAAGTGCTGCCCGATCAAAAACCGACAAGGCGGCGAACACATGCCTCAGTGGTTAGAGTGTTGGACTTCTAACTTATAAGGTCGCGGTTTCGAAACTTGAGCGGGGCACCGATTTCTGGAGCAAAACTTGAGTTGGCTATGACTGGCTGACGATGGCTTCTAAGCCAAAAATGGTTAACCTCGTCACCCTTACGTTTTTCGGTAATTTCCTTCTGCCTATAGTAATATTGTGAGCCCCAAAGCGACACGGAACTTGCTTGTTCCTCTACCAGATCGGCAAAGCCCATATATTCATCCTATTCCCGATCCCATTCGACTAAGCAACGGGCCCGTGGCGCAACGGTAGAGTGGTAAAATCAATGACCAAAGGTTCCGGGTTCGAATCTTGGGGGTCGTGACCCTTCACATTGGGTATTACTGACTGATGATGGCGAGCAAACCAGAAATAACCACTGCGGTCTCCCTTTGCTTTGTCGGATCCATTCCACAGTAAAATGGGTATAAAATGAAGCATATTTTGAGATGTATATATTCTCACAAAGTCAAAGTAGAAAAAATCCTTGGACCAAAAGGTAAAAGCACCGATTTCTTATAGAATACGAGAATTTTTAGTGCGGAGACTATTGCAGCCCAGAGCGCACCTCAGAGGACTGTTACCGGCAGAAATTCAAATAGGACGGGGCGTATTCCACTTCATTAAAACCTTCTGAGTACTTGTTGGGATGAGCCAGAGGAAAATTCAGAGGCACAGCAGGAGAAGTAGGAGCATTCGCAGTCCCTCATGAAAGCAAGTAAATGATGACCGCGAGGTGGAAAGCACAAAGTAGATGGTTTCATTCAGATAAAGTTACAAAAAACAGAGTGAATGTGGCCTAAAATACCGTTTTTATTGACTGTGCGTTGAGATGCTTACGATACCCTGGGGGAGGTCTCGGTGGCAAAGGTGGTGGACTCAAGGGATCCCTCAGTGGTGGAGTTTGATGACGTAGATAAGTTCTCGGTGGCAAAGAAGGACGAGTAGGGCTTTTCGCTTGCAAAGGAGGAGGACTTGGTGTCGGAGTTTCCGGCGTCATCAAGTTTTTAATAATATCATCGCTACTGGGCCGACTGGCTGGGTCTTTTTGAAGACACAAACGACCTACCCGATGGACGGCTTTGGGAGAATAATCGGGGAACTTAAGTGGACACCTGCCCTCACGGAAGGCCTTCTCCAAGGCTTCGCTCAAATTGGCATTTGGTATATCAAAAAAGGGTACGTGCCCCAGACTGTATACCTCCCAGAGGACTATACCATAAGACCAGATGTCAGATTTCAGGCTGCAGTTTTCTCTGCTCATCAAAACCTCCGGCGCAGACCACTTGACAGGCTTCTCTCCGTAAGGATATCGAGAACCTTCCCTTCGACAGAGTCGGAAGTCCCCGATCTGAAAACGTGATGCTATTAGTAGTGTGACTAAACATAATGAACTATAATAAGTGTGATAAGCATTGCAGCCGGAAGAAAATAAGGAAGTTGAACCTGATAATAGCAGAGCATATAAGTGCACTCACACTAAATCCCAGGGAGGGGGAATCTTTCTGTCTCATAGCATTAACTATAGCACCTACCGGAACCAAATATTAAATTAAACACTTAACTCACATCATAACTCGAAAAAAATGGGGTGTCGCCTTTCCTAGTAGATGTTTTAAAGCATACTTAATTATTTCACTTCGTTAACTATATTCCTTTGAATTCAACACAATTGCAAGATTGTTTGCATGAGTTCACGGCTACGAAAAAAATAAGGGGCCTTAACCTGAGGGTCTTTTTTAGGGTTTCAAAGTCTGGATTTGGATTTTCCTTAGGATTGACGAGTTGATGTCAGTGCGTGGGTTTAATATGCAGGGGTACGTTGATCGTTCGGGTTGTATGATCAGGATTAAGATTCATGTTTTTTAAATTGGGTTTTCGTATAAAGGTACAGTTGGGATTTGAGGATCCGAATTCGGGTTTTGTTCTTGGCATAGCGGGCTTTAAGGATAGATATAAGAGTACAATTTCATTGTGGAAAGCATGCATATATGAATGATATTTATTGCCAGTTCATGGGCAATTTATACTAAATATACAATGGGAATCGACCCGGTGTCGAAAAAGTAATTCCTCAAAGTAAGTGTTGCTAGCAGTGTCTGTCACGGATGTCAGTATGTTATGTGCCATGACCAGCTGAATTATAACTTGAAGTTATTTGATTTGTGATTGATTTTGTTCTGAATTATTGCACGATTTTCCATTTACAAGTGCGTAGTATGTTCTGCCTGTATTCTGTTAGTAAAGGATTATAGATCATTTTTGCTCATAGCAATGTGTTTCTTTGTCAACTGACGCCTCGGACAGCTAGGCCGGCTGCCTTTTTCAAAGCGTAAAATGACTTTTTCTGTGTATGTTGGCCATGTGCTGATCAATTTTTCTACGCTGGCTGCTTGGCTTTCCGTGTGACTTTTGGCATAACTTGACGGCAGTTAGTGTTGTGTTCCGTCCGCACGGTAGAGGATGCTGGTAATCCCCCCACCCTCTTCCGGTGGTTTCGTCACGGTGTCTCCTTTGTCTACAAATCCTGAGTTAAATTTAACCTGGTCCTGTCCTTCACGCATGTTATGGCGTAGGACGTTGTAGGCCGTAAGAAGGTCAACATTCCTGCTGACGGAGTTGGCGTATGAGTACCATGTCCCTAGCGTCCGTCTTTTCACTTTTGAGGTTCTCCGGCCTAAGCTGGTTGCTCCTTGAATGTCGAAGTTTTGGCTAGTCTCTCAGATATGTGTTGCAAGCTGTGAGTCTGGGTCAAGACTCCCAGCCGCCGCTTTATGTTCGTGTAGGTGAGTTTGCAATTTGCGCCCCGTGACGAAACCACCGGAAGGGGAAGCAGGATTACCGGTATCTTCTACCGTAGGGACGAAACACAACGCTAACTGCTGTCAAACTATGCCGAACTCCACACGAAAGGCCAAGCAGTGAACGGGGGAAAATCGATCAGCCCATGGCGAATACGTACAGCTGCATTTTTGAAGTTCAGTTAAATAAAGTCAGCTCACGATTTGACAAAAGACAGGCGGCCCAGCTGCCCGAAATTTCTGCGGACAGGGAATCAAATTCCGGTGCGCCAAACTGCTCTATTATTCTAAGCCCGGAATTCTTACTTTTCCATTAAGGGATTAGTTAGGACTGGATTCCTCGACACCTTTGTATTTTAAAGAATTTTTTTAAGTTTGGTTAAGGCTGGCGACTTGTGCATTCTGTGAATTTTAGGCTCGCGTGTTCACTAGCAAGGCCACTGGAGTAATGAGAGTCTTATTACATGTACCGAACCGACTTACAATGTTCTCTTCACGAGTCGATACTAGTTAACTTCTACTGATATATACACGTTTGCAATGCCTTTTAAATCGACCAATAGCTATGTATGAAGACCTAAGTAGCAATGCACATTTCGGAAAAGTATGTTTGAGGATAATAGCCAAGATAACGCTTCGTATTTTTTTACCCTTTATTGGTGGATCAGATTACACGCACTTGCGACTAACGTGCTAACGAGGCACGACTCCGCACAGATTGCATACGAGGTACAAAGTACTGTGTTGAATTCATTTCACAATTGTCAGTGATGCAGGGAAAACAGGTTTAGCTGGATGACTTGACGGTTTTCAATGCGATCCTCTATATGAGCAGGAACACCTTTTGAAATCATGGGATGGTTCGTGGGTAGCCCTTCAAACTAGCTACTGAATACTTTCAAAAATACTAGGATGAAAGCAGCAACACGTAAATAGGCGCAAACACAGTGAAATACAAGAACTGTAAAACTAGCCTTTGGCGTCTTGTCATCGTCCAGGAAAATATTTCGCGCAGCCAAATCTCGATGAATTAACTTCCGGGCCTGCAGATATCGCAAACCCTGTGCTATTCCCAGTGCTATCTTCTCCAGACCCAGACTCCTTAAATCATTTCTCTTTGCCATTTGCACATAGGAATATAGGGTTCCACCGGGTACTAGTTCGCCGATGATATAGAGAGTTTTGTCTTCAAAGGCCCAACCGCACAAGCGAACAATATTTTCATGATCTAGGTCCAGCATTGCCGCCACCTCCATGAATCCGACAAGGAAGTATTTGGAGACTTGTTGAACCTCTTTGACAGCGACTTTCTGCAATAAATGGCAGCACCAACGGTTCAGCTTAGGAAATCAGTTTGTTTTCGTTTACTAGATGGAGTCAGCAAAGCTGAAAACACAACTATATGAAATGCAGTAAACTACACTGCTCTGCAACTAAAAAAATAAGTTAGAAGGAATAAATAATGCTATTTGACAGTAAATAAGTCTTATAAAATCTGGTTGGACATACAGGATTTAATAAGTTTCCTTATGCATCTACCAAGACGATGGGCTGTCAACGTAAACAAGTGCATGTCAAGGAGGTCCTGCAATTGTGCCTAAATATTTTTTAATCATTGAGCGATAAATAATGAGGACTATAAGACTAATATGTTCCTCTCTGTCCGAAGTGCCTGTATGATCTCCACGTTCTTTTTACTTTGCATAACTGGCTACTTACTTCGTAGTAGTAAACATACTTGTTTTACTAATTTGGCGTCCACTGTGTCACTGGCCGCAAATTTTTGACACAGTCACGAACACCACGAAACATTTTTGTGACAAAAAGAGGGGAAGTTTATAGAAAGCAAACTTATTACGTTTCATTGTACGTTGAGGCTTTTGTCGCATGTTATATTCGTAACATAATATATTAATATCTTAAAGGTCTTCCAAAGTTCACTTGGCTATGACCCATCATAAAACTTTTTTTCCAGGTAGGAAGGCATCCGCTGTGTGATTGACAATGGACATTCGGACTTTAGCATCCGATTTGCGTTAATCAAAGTTGACCAGGGTCGAATTGATTTCATGTTTGATCTTCCAAACACTGGGGTTCGATTGGAGTCCCAATTGTCGAAAATTGCTTTTTGTTTATTTATCAATTATCGCGCTCATTCGTTTTATATGCAGGTTGTCCCAAAAAGGATACACATTTTAACTAAGTATGAACTTTGTGTTGACGATAATTTTATTAATTCAAAATTAAAAGAATATTAATAAGTATAATTTTATTGTTTTTACTGCATTTTGACTATATTTTCAATAATGTTAAATACGCAATAACTAAAATGTCCAAAGATTAGTCGATGCTCTTAATGACGATGATCTAGACCGAAAAGTACAGTACAGTAGTCGCCGGCTATTAAGCCCACCTCGGGCCGAGACCAAATTGGGCT